ATTCACTGAAATTATTCCTGCATATGCTGTTGGCGATACAACTGCCGCAATAGACGAGCGAGTGGCCAAAGAGCCCAAAACAAAGAGCAAGTGTGTTCCAATAATTGAAAATCTATTGCGGCAGTTGTATCGCCAACAGCATATGTAGGAATAACTTCAGTGAAGAATCCTGCACTGAAACTTGTCGGATATAATTCAACACCCTTCGTGGTATTAGCCATTAGTAGTTGTTTAATGGTAAGTTTCAGTCAATTAACCTACAGGGTAGGGAGTTGAAACTGGTCTGAACGAATTGTTCTTTTAGATGATTTGAAAAATATTCACATGTCAGACAACCTGTATATTATCGAGTTTTTCAAATCTCCTGTAGAGTTGTAATTTTCATTATTATATTCATCACTAGAAATCCAACCCGGCCTCGCATGGAAAGCAAATATATATGTCTATATGTTTCTACCTTTGAAGAAGTTTTCCGTTTTTAGCGGAAAGACGTGCTTTTGAAGATATGAGGGCTAGAAGTTTCGCTCTCCTGTTAGTTCTAGAACAGCCTAGAAATTTCAAAAGTATTCGTAACAATCTGGAATGTTGTGAAGTGTTTGGTAAAAGTCTGGAATGATCGGAAAAGTTCCGGAATATCCCAAAATATTGTAGGGGCTCCCGTTTTTACCTTGAGGGTATGCTTCTGAAGATATGATGGCTGGAAGTGTCACCAACCAAAAAGTTCCAAATTATTCCAGAACATTCGAGAGTATTCGAAGGCATACCACAACATTCTAGTAGGTACTTACCGAAATATTCTGGAATATGGTGGCATGATGGGGAATAATCTGACACTTGCAGGAACACCTCATATAATTGTCGAACGATTAAGGGAGTTAACTTAATACGTGGGAAACTGTAGGTAAACTAATTTTACGTAACGACCTCTGAATAACCAATGCGCTCCAAATATAGTTGTCAGTTCATCGGTTCTATTCCCTCTATACATTTCTAGAACAGTCCAGAACATTCTATGGTATTCAGTAACATTCCACAATATTCCGGAACATTGTCAAATGTTTAACAATAATCTAGGAATATCTCAGATCATTCGAAACGTTCCAGAACAGTCTAGAATGCTGGGGAATGTTGCGAAACATTCTGGCACTCTTGTAGTGACATATTTTGCTGGCCATTTTTTTGTTCGGCGTTAAGATTGGGAATGTTTTGTTCACATAATTAGACACTAGCCAAAAATTATGCTGTACCTACTGCACCATTTTGTTGAAACCTTATTCGATGAATCGTAGTTATGGAGATTGCAGCAACTTCAAATATTTTTCGCCACTCAATGAATCTTCGATAAAAAAATGGTCTAAGTATTGAGGTCCCAACTTATAGGTTAACTGGGTATGGACATTGGATATATACCTACATTTTCTAGTACGGATACTCAGGATTCCAGTATCGGAAATTTTTGTTTGAAAGTGGTTGACAATGTTTCATGATAAATTTCACTAGTTCAGACTTCTATTGTCTAATATGATTTTAATATGCATTGAAATCTCTGAAAGAACAAAAAAAATGAAAAGGAATAGGTAAAAATCTCAAGCAATAAAACGTGAAATGAAATTACAATATTCGATTTAGGTTTTTGAAAAATAATTTTCTTTTTCCATCTGGAAAAATGATGTTTTCGCTGTGTGATTCAATGTTCATGTTCAATGGATGGATAGATGGACTTTTTCTACCGGGTAATATTTAAAAGAATAGGTTTTTATTAAAACATCAATGTTTTCTTACTTCCTTTGAAAGTCTCCGTATCTTCATGTAATTGAAGAGAAGTGAGGAACCAAAAATATTTTGTCTGTTCTTCATATTGCTAAAGATGACGTGAGCGGGAAGTTGAGCAACTTGTCAAAACGAACCACTGTCAACAATCTCGATGAAATACAAACATAAGGACTCACTTAATTTAGGATTAATACTTATTTGGCAAGTACATCAATCAATTCCTTCATATCAACGCCATAAAAAACTAAATTTTATACAGCTACGGACCTATTTTGGAAACAATAAATCACATTTCAGAGTGTTTCAATCAAATAATTCAGACTTCATCGAGTCAAATCTGTATTCAATGAAAATAAATTCAGACATGCAACCCGACCCCATATTTACCAATTATGAATTGATTGTAAACGGAAGATTTGGGTTCGCTTTACATAACGGGTTTTATATATCACGATTCCTTTGAGTAAATGTATGATCAATTGGCTCCAGTCACGAGAAAAGAATGATAATTTATATGGCAAACGGTGATATGTTAGTCCTTTGCTCAATTCCGTCGCATATTTGTTGATTAGAAGGAGAAATTAATTTTACCACATCCATTATTAATTTTTCACTAATACTTTCACTATTGAGTTATTGAAGATATGAAATTAAATTGTTAATTCGTTTTTGTTTTGTTTCTGCAAACCATTTTATGACCATTACTCGTTGTGATGATAATTATAACAGTGAAAATGTATTTGGATTCATGTGCCCTAGCAGACACAGTGATCCTTCTACATTTTTCTCCTCATAGATTTCTGCCTTATTATTATTATTATTATCATCATTATTATCACGGTGATTTCAAACTCGGGACATTTTAGTAAATGTAACCAAAAGATACTATAATTTTTTATATAATTATTCATTTGAAAGTTGCACCAATGCATCAGCAATATTTCGAACTGATTCTTTACGGGCGATGGTGGTGTAATGGTCAGCATAGTTGCCTTCCAAGCAGTTGATCCGGGTTCGATTCCCGGCCATCGCACTTTTTTTATTCCTACGAAAACAGAATATAATATTCAAATCGTATTATTTAGTTGAAAATATTTGATATAATTTGTTACCCGGTTTCTAAACTGATTGAAGTCTCTATAACTTTTTTGTTTCTCCATTAATTTGATTTCTACCTAGACATTTTTTTTGGAAAAATGTTCTTCGCAGTATTTTTTCAGAAAATGAGAAGTTTATAATGAAATAGACAGCTGAATCCAAAAGTGTGTAGAATTACTGGGTATTCTATTCGAAATCTGAAAGTGAAGGTAATCTTTTGTAAAACTGGAAATGCCCCAAAAAATGTTTTGATTCAATCAATCCAAATCGCGATACCATTTAAACCACCAATATTCCATTTTGATACCTGAATTAGTTTACACTCGGTATTAATTTGGTATTTGAATTTTTCCACGGGTAAATATAAAGTCGGCAATCATCTAGAATCTTTAAAATTCTATCAATTTCATCATTTCATCTCATAATACATACAAAATATGTTAAATGAATTCCAAGGGCTCTGAAACGACTTAATCTCTATTTGAAATTGTGATTGTCACACTCGCTTGGGGATGAGAAAGTGGCGGAATTGAAAATACCGGAAAAAAGGTTCCGCTTCAACAAAAAAATCTATGAATCCTTATGTGGAAAAAAATCATAACATGCTCAACGAACTTACCATTCTAAAGGGTTCTGTTGAAATTCTATTGAAAAAAATATGTTTGAAATATGTTTTTTTCGTTAACCAGCTATCGCATCCCTACGAACGACAACTCTTAAAAGTCGAAACTTGTGCGAGCTAAGGACTAACGAGGTCTTTTAACGTGTCATTCCTAACACGGATTGGACGATAGCAAGTGAAAATCGAGCGTTCAGCCTGCGGCTTGAACTATCGACTCTCACATTGGCCGATTGACCGAGTGAACAAAATCACACACGTCGAACCGCCCGGCTCCCAACCGACCAATAGCTTATAGTACTTTCAAATGTTAAATAAACAGTATTTGTCGGATTTTTAACGTGAAACATTGGGAAACATTTACTCGACTGTACGTTTTTCTAAAAACTGCGTATGATTCAAAATTTTCATAAGATTAACAAATACCTTACGATAAAACTCTATACAGAATAAAATTCAAAAACTGCTATGTGAAGCTGTACCAAAATTTTGAAATTGGAGACATTTTCATTTGTCGTATTTATTTACTTTTTTTCATTACACAAAAATGTAACGGTAGAAGATTCAGCATTTCGTCTGAAGCAATTGTTCCTGTGTGAAATGATCAATCGATCATTTTTTATTTCAACCTCCATGTTTTTCCAAATATTTTGGGACATACTGGGTTGCCACTGTAGCTTCAGAGGAAATTCTGTTATTGTTACTGTTTCAAATCAATTTCTGGTCGCTAATAACACCTAGGCATTTGTTTTTTTTAGTAAACTGAATTCCATTAGTTTGGGTTTCTCTTGGTAAATAAAACTTGCACTGTTTTGCTAGTATTCCTTCACATTCCAATTTTGGATCAAATTTAGGACATTTTGTAGAAGTCCTGAAATAACCTCTTCATGCTTTCGCCACATGGTGATGACTAGTTCATCGCCATCAATTTGAGTCGTTGAACCCTGATAGGTATCAGATTGTCGACATCAGCAACCATACAAAAGCAATGATGCCCCTGATAGTTTTTTCACGGTTTTTCTCATTGAAAAATATGATTTTTCATCCATCTACTGGACCAGTTATGGAGGAAGGAGAACGAAAAAGTGAATCTCCCGCTTTATCTGCTTGATTCATGATCCGCCATTATAATTTAAATTAGTAATATTTCACAGAATGAGATTTTTTCTTTGATACAAATTGTGAAATGAGGTAATTACTCTCTCAAAAAATCAAAACGCTGATGGGTTAATAATCGTCATTCCCCTACTTTAAAATATAAGCCACAAAGTAACCCATTTAGAGATAATGAAATTTTCTACTGGATATGCATCCTCCTTCACAAACATTAAAGAATATTTCCATTTGAATGATAATAATCCGCAAAGGAAAACTGACATGGCCCCTTTCCTTTATTCGCAGTTGAATCGTATTGGTATGAATGCGAACGATCAAAAAAGTCCTCGAAACCGATATCTCCTCGAATCGAGATGACCGAGAATACAAAGAACGCTCTATTCTTTTGTTTCAGACGGAGACCTGTACACTGGCACGGTAGCTGATTTCAGCGGAATGGACCCCATTATCTACAGGGAACCGCTACAGACGGAACAATACGATTCGATGAGTCTCAACGGTGAGTTTTTTATGTCTTGCGGAATTGTCGTTCGAGAACTAAAAATAGTTGGCGTTCATTTTTTTTGTTACGGGTCTTTCCGAGCATTTTATTGCGTGCTATCGAACGGATTTACGAAAGTGATGTTGATTTTTCATGGACATTTTCAATGTTTCTGTATGTACACTATGTACAGGTATCAAATAATCACACATGTCTAAGGGGATACAAAAAAATAGAGGAATAACTTTTGTCCGACTACATATAGCCAGAATTACGTTGGCCCATTTTGAATACCATCAAGTCAATTTGCTGCTTTGCCCTTCTAGATCTCAGGATTTTTCATCCATTGAACACATCTGGAACATTATGGGAAGAAGATTATTTAATTCACCTCATTTCGGCATTAGGTGTAAGTAATTTGGAATGAAATACATCAGAAAGAAATAAATCATCTCATTAGGAGTATGCCCAGACGTGTTTCTAGGTGCATAAGTCATCGTGGGGGTCCAACACATTATTAACGTTTTGCAAAAAGTCGTAATAAATTCATTATTATTAGGTGTTCTTTTTTCTTACTTAGTATATTTTATATTTCATGAACGTCCATATCTACACTGTCCATCTCAACACATAATTAGCGGTGCATTGAATTGTACGCCCGTCTGCACCGGATCTTATGATAAAATTCCCCAAGATCGTAAATGCGACAACAAGAGGCACTTATCGTCGAGTTTCTTTCAGAAATTGATCAATTGTCAACATTTTGAATTTTTTGCACCTTTCACTTTCTCTTTTCGAAAATGTATGCCATTAAGGTACAATATCGTTTTAATGAGATCAAAGTGTTAATGATTTCTAGACATTTGATGATTATATTTCGCGCCCCGATACGTTCATTTAAAAAAATATAAAATTTATTATTTTTCTTGAAGTTCCTACGAAATAATATTTTCATCAGTATGCAGTTGACTGGTTCGATACCAAGTTGATTAATGCCTTTTTCTCCGCAGCTCCCGATTTTGTCGGATCCATGACCCAGGGGGACTTCGTTTACTTCTTCTTCAGGGAAACGGCCGTCGAATACATCAATTGCGGAAAGGTACGTTATCCTGTCAAGTTGAGAATAATAGTGCCAATAGCCCGGGAAAATGAGGTTCAAAATCGATCAATAACAGAACAAAGAAAATCTTGAGTCTTTTATTGTTGTGAAACAACACTAATGATGAAAAAATGTCGGCAACCATTTGATTGAAATAGAATTAACATAATTATAAAATGTTATCACAACCAAATAACTAGGATGCCCATTTAGATTTTCCGGAAAAAAAATCAGGTGACAGAATGAATGGAACATTGTTATTTATATATTCGAAAAATGCTGTGAAAGCAAAGTATTTAATTTAAACACATCAATTATTTCATAAAAGGAAAGTTATCAAAGAAATATGGGGCTTACTAAATATATACAGTTTGGGTATAGTTCAAGTAAACGATATAGTGCAACTTACCTTCCACTTCAAAAACACTTCACTAACTTTTTTCGAAAGCTCATTCTGATAATTCCTCTTCTTTATTCTCTATTTCACTGTCACTTTCGTCATTTGAATCAATAATGAATTTATTTCCACCATTAATATGGAAGTGTCCAATCTACATATAGTCTTTTCCAACTGAAATTCCTTTTTTAATCCTTTTCTGTCGGTCTTCTTGGGTAATATTAGATACTTTTTCTTTAAATAGCTCTATTACCTTTTTATCAAATTTTAGAAAATTATTTTTACGCCTGATGCTTTGTTTAAATTTTCCCCAAATCAACTCGATGGGATTGAAAACACAAAAATAGAGGGGAAGTCTCAGTATGGTGTGTCCATACTTTTCAGCAATACTCTCATGGGCATACACTTTTTCAAATGTTTTGTTTGTAAAACTTCAAGTAGTTGGCTTTTGGTATAGTAATCTTCAAAATACAAAGTGTTATCCATTAAAAAACTTTGTATTTCATCTTTCCTCAAATTTTCATTCGGTACTTTGATGAGCTGTCGCGAATGATAGGAAGCGTTGTCAAGAACTATTACACTATTTGCATCCAAATTTGGGATCAATGTGTTTTCAAATCATTCCTCGAAAATATTAGCTTCCATGTTCTTATGATAGTCAACATTGCAGTCCTCAAGTTTTTTCCACATAATTTCGAAGAATTCGGAACCCATCCTTTACTTCCTCCGCAATGCACAATGATTAGTCGCGATCCTTTGTTTGCAGGCATGTTAGGCGTACACATTCTCGAACCATCAGTCCACCCTTTCGTAACTGTGTCGTGAGTGTCATACCAAGATTCGTCCAACTAGAAAATTTGCCGTTGTTCTTGTCTATATTTAGTTATTTGTTCTGAGTATTTGTTACGCAATTCCACTATTCTTCTGCTTTCCATAACTGCTTGACGTTTGTTTATTATTTTAAAATGTAAATCCTAGTTTCTTAATCCAATTCTGAAAAGTTTTGTCACAGCAGCTCACGTTATGGCCGGAAGTATTCAATTTCTTCCTCATGATTTCAGTTATAGGAATCTCATTGCTTTTGAAACAGGCGTATATTGTTTTTCCAATAATTTTATTAGATGAACATCTGAATGTTTTGGTAATCCTGTATCATAAGGTTTGTTTTTGACTATTTTACGCACAGTTTGTTCCCCTCGAAGCCAAACTTGAGATGTAGATTCTTATATTCATTGAAACATACTTTCTGTGTTTCAATATTCAAATGCATCGGAATCTTTTTCACTGGTATCTCTATTTCGCATTGTTCACCATCGCTATTGGAATCACTACACTGGAAAAAGTCTGCGTTGTTATCACACTCGTTATTACTATTAGTACTTGTCTAAGGACGCCACATTTTAAACAGATGACAAAAATTTTAAGTGATTATAACTGCACCAATATCGAATTTCAACAATCAAATCCCTATCAGTTCCTGAACTGAACACGACGGCGATAACCTTTCCCGATTTCTATTCCTCACCGTAACATGACTTCAAATTTAATTTTATGACTCTTCAGCCAAATATAAAACTCGGTTAGTCCACGTGGACTAGTTTGCTGCCGGTTCATTTCTATGTATTGGTTTTTTTGGCCTTTGAGAGTGCCGACAACTTTAAGAGTAGACAATATCGTTTACTTCGACTATATACCAATCATTTACTATTTAGTTGATTGATAATTCAAACTAATAGCCACTCATTTCCATATAGTCATGAAGATTTTTTTGAAACGTTTTCCTACGTATCGAACCATTTGGAACAGTTTTGAAAGAATTCGTTAACAATTCTTTGACGTGAAGGTTTTGTCCTATTTAGTGGCGATAAATCTGGTAACCGTGAAGGCCATTTACTGCTGCTTTATCTATCCAGTGCCTTGGTTTGGCAATGGATTAGATGGGCAGAAAAGTAGGGTGTTATTTAGAAGAATGTGTTTTATCGAGTATTTTAAATGTGATCAGTATATTATCTTTCATTTCTCTAACTGTATCATCTGGTAAATCATTCACTAAAAACTCAACAATTATGTTTCATACAAAAAAAATACACATCCAGTTTCTGTGATAGTAAGACTAGTGAATAGCTTCAAAAAAGTAAAATATTATCTTCACTTTTCTTTTTTACGTTTTTTTTTAATCTTTCGAAACGTTTTTAAAAACATACCGCACTATTATGTTCCAGTGCGTTGTTAATGGCGACATAAATCAGGTGAAGGGAACGACGACAAATAAAATGTAAATGCCTTCATTTGTAACTTTTGCGGGAATCTAATATTGAGGAAACTGGGGTAGATAGGAAAATTCCGATTAGAAAGTTTGGATATCTTTCTTTTGTTTGTCGCTCCAATGTTTGGTAGAAGAGTAATGGAAAAGACAGAAGATACCGGGTAATATATGATGGTTTCACTCTGAATCCATCAACTGGAATATATTTGGGAAGTTTGTTTTAAAAACATCGCAATTTAGGACACAAATATACAAAAACACATCGATTTTTATATCAGACCTTTTCATCTTAGATTTCCTTCGTCACATAATACCTACAGGAATTCTCAGAGTATCATAATAACAGTAATTATGTATTAACCACAATGAGTACCCATAATTATGGTCGAAGTAGCAAAAAATTATCAGTATTCCTTTCAACTACTATTAGCATGCCATGGCAATACATTGATTAATTTTCTTATAAAGCAAAGTTTGCGTATAATCAGAACATCAGAAAAACGAAAGATCTCTATGTATATCAATGGGAATTTGTCAATGCTAATTTTACGTATGATAAATTGGTTATTTTTGTTTTTCAAGAAATCGTTAAGCGTTAAATAACGTGGGTGTTAAGTAGGTGTAAGATCTTTCACTTTGTCTGTATGTGACTGGCCTATCAAATTAGATTTCGTATTTCTTCCAGTAATCATCATGAAGGTCTTAATTGAGCAAGTTCATGTTTTTTTTAAATTATTTTCACAACATAATTGTAAGTTTTGAATGTTCAAAAGATTTTTATCGGAAACCCTATCCTATGCAATCAGCTCAAGTCGAATAAAACTCTATCTGAGCAATATATTGTTTTTTCAAATATCGAAAAGAGAATATCTTCGTCAGACACTTGAATATGAGGGGAGTATTTCTCATTTGCTCATCTCAAGTTACAATAATTCTTTTGAATTACCTCTCAGTATAATACCATGTCTCTCTAAAAAAGAGAGACTGTACGAGTTCAGAGATATTTATAAAAAACATTTTGACAAAAAATATACTACAAATGTGAATTTTTCATTCGTCAGTCAATAAGACACTGGATATAATGTATCTAGAGGACGCAGAATTGGACTATTCGTATTTTTATTCAAAGATATTTTTGAGAATTTGAAGTTGGTTCGTTAACATGGATCTAATAATTATTCAAACCATTACAGGCGGTCTACTCCCGTGTCGCAAGAGTGTGCAAAAATGACAGAGGTGGGCCTCATCGTTTTAGAAACCGATGGACTTCTTTCCTGAAATCCAGATTAAACTGCTCTGTCACAGGCGAATTCCCTTTCGCTTTTAATGAAATACGTAAGTACATTATGTCACTACTCAAAATGTTTTGTCATGTGAACTTTAATTTTGAACTAAACAATATGAACTAAACAATATGACATTGTTTAGTTTATAATTTTTCCATCAAAGTAACTCGGGCCTGATTACTTCCTTTTGATGAGAGTCTTTTTAAATTCAGATGAAAGGTGGTAATCGAAAGGCTGAAATATATTTTAGCAATATAAAAGGTGTTCTACTCATGCCTTTCAACCGTTAACATGGGAAAAACGTCATCACAAAAACTTGCCAGACCTGTTGATAAGTGAACAAAAAATTCTAGTACATACTAGAAATAAAATATTTATTCAAACCTAAAATGGAATATTCGAATTAAAAAGTCATTCAAAAAATTTGAAGTATGCTGTGCAATTTCAAAGAGATCTGAGACAATTTATAAATGCAAGCAGCTTAGATTACGGTATTATAGCTTGGTGGGAGCTTATATAATATTTAGGAATGGATGTAGAAAATAATTTTTTAAATGTAAAAGATAACCCACCAAATAATTTATGAAACTTAGAATGTCCTGGATATCATCCGTAAATTATATTGGTTGATCCTCATAAATCAAAAAAAGTCGAAAATTAGAGAAATAGTGCGTCACGCATATAAAACAAGACAGGGGGTGAGTACCCATATATGCCAAAAGGTAAGAAATATGTCGAAATTTCTGGCAACTGGCAAATAAATACCACACGAAGAAATAATATTTAGACAGCAGCGCCTTAACGGATGTATCTGAAAGTTTTCAGAAAAAGGTGGGAACGCCTGGCTCGCCAATATAAATTTTTGTTACTGTTATTTGTGATAAACAACAACTCTGGCAGTAACTAGGTGATTAAATTTAAGACTCTCTCTCTATCTCTCTCTATTTTGGAGGGCCGTTGCTTCCCACTCGGGTACATTAGGCCAGGCTCCTCCTATCTAGGTTGACAGGAGCTTCGTCGGGGGACGCAGCGGTCTTGCACGAAGCAATGCTGCCACCCGTTTTTTTTCGAACTTTTTTTTATATAAAAACAATTCCATTTTTTAAGAAGTCGCCTCCTGCTCGGGAGACCTTTTGGATTTTTTTTCACATATACAGCCCCCTTTACGTGATTATCCGAACCACTCCGGCCTGGATACCGGCGTGAATGAAGGGGACCCCTTACTCTTCACTTTTAGAAAAGACTCTCACATATTTTAATTATCAACACAATGAACTAACACACAACACAAGACGCTCCATCAATAGTCACAAAATCATTCCAGCGTCACTCAAACATTTCAAAACCACTTTGGTGGAATGATTTATATTTTGCTTCGTTATAGGCCTAAGTTTCAGCAATAACCTCTTCATTCGAGCGAATTTTTTCGCCGGTAAGCATTTTGTTGAGGTGTGCAAACAGCCATTAATCACTAGGAGCCAAATCTGGCGAATATGGTGTATGCGGGAGCAATTCGAAGCCCATTGTAATATGTAATATTCACTGTTGATGGTATTTCCCTCCTCAAAATAGTCGATGAATATTACACCACGCACATTCCAAAATACCGAGGCCATAACCTTTCCATCCGATTGTTGTGCATTCGGGCGCTTTGGATGAGGTTCACCAGTTGCTCTCCACTTAGATGACGATCGTTTTGATTCCGGAGTGAAGTGATGGATCCATGTTTTAACCATTGTCACATATCAATGCAAAAACTTCGGTTTGTTATGTTTGAACAAGGCCAAACACTGCTCAGAATCATCAAGACGTTCTTGTTTTTGGTCAACAGTGAGTCCGCATGGCACCCACTTTGAACAGAGCTTTCTCATAGTCGAATGCTCATGCACCATTAAGCCAATACGTTTTTTGATACCTTTACAATATCAGCTAACTCACGCCATTTCACTTTTTGATCATTCAAAACCATTTTGTGAATTTTAAAAAAATGTACTCTGGTGTTACTGCCTCAATTGGACGTCCACTGTGTTCTGCATCATTGGTGTCTCTACGAACACGTTTGAAGTCAGCAAACCAACGTTTAATTGTTGTTTCTGATGAAGCAGAGTCCTTATAACACTTTTCGATCCATTGCTTCGCTTGAACGGTATTTTTTTGAAAATAACAAAAGTAGTGTCACTCTTAGCACAATAACTCACAAACTCATGATTACCATATCATCCTGTAGAATATTTACTGTCAGCCAGTTTTGCAATGGGCCCTCTCAAGAGTAAATACACCTGATGAAAAATTAGTATCATAATATGGCAGGGCAGTATTTTTTTAATTCAAAGCTTAAGAACCTAACTAGTTCTCAATATTCAAAGATTCATCATCGTATACCTAAAGTTTCATTTCATAAGCGTGAATGTTATTTTCCTCGGCATAGTATGAAATTTCCTTCGATAGCCGACCAACGCCAACATGCCATCCAACATTTTTCATGCACGATTCAAACTTTTTATCTCCGAGTTCCGTGAAAATTAATTTAGAACTTCCAAACTGTTCTTGGCACATTTCGAATACTTATCCATTCAGGACGGTATTCGTATGACGCTCACAGAATCTCCTTTCCAGTTTCCACTTAGATTAGTCTATTATCCAACGGTGAAAGTGGAGCACAGCATGAAACTTTACAAATTGAAATACATTATTTGTTTACTTAGCCCTCAGATCATCCCCGTTCTTGGAAAAGCTCTAGAGAGAGAGAGAGGCCGATGGAGAGGTTCGGCCCAAAATATTACTCTGGCAAGTTTTGCAGCCCCGCTTGTTCATTAGGAGAGGCTTCAAGTCGGATCATCGGTTTAATGTATACATGTAATAATTAGCGCTGAAGTTCAAGACAGAGAGATTAAGTACTGTGTGCGGCTGAATATTTCGATACGTGTTGCTGAAATTATTAAAATGTCTCCAACAGACTTCAAAAACAAGGACGCATATGAATTACTTCTAATTTTTTTCCGGAAAAACAACTGGAAATTCGCTTCGAGATTCGATTGCCGAGTAAAGTATTTTTCAAAGTAACTTTTGGTCTCAACTTTTATTTCATTTCCTACATAAATTATTTTGATATATTGACAACGTCCCACATCTCAGGTGATATAATATGAATTAACTAAATTAATCTCCCACACAAGAAATACATTTTGTGTACCTCATTTATCGCAACTTTTTGTATTTTCTATAAGTAGTATTATTTCTGTTACAAGATCCATAGCTTCTCCATGTCTGAAGGAGGTCCTAGACGGTCAATCATTTTGATTGACCTGATTGCAGTTGATTGAAGCGCGCCTCAATCGATTGACTCAATTGTTTAATAAAGCAGTTTGATCACTTAGGGCCATTTTGATAGTTCAGATGCTGGTTGGTGTAAAAAGTTTAGCAATACCAACTCTTTTTCAACCATTCCGTTGTATTGGGAATAGAAAGGGCTTAATGTTTTTACTTCAATATCCTATATTACAAAAATTTTTATTGATGTTGATAAAACCTACTTAGAAAATTAAGTATGATATAATTCAAAAAATGGAATTTTTACTAATTTACCATTAACAAACATAGAGAGAATTTATTTTTCCAATGAGACTGAATTGGTATCATCTAAACTGGACTATCCATGATGATAATTAAACAATTCTTACCAAAATGTTTTTCAGTTTTAGACACGTTTCGCAAACACCGTAGCTTCATTGGAAGTACTACTTTTAGTGAAACACGACTAGAATTGAAAAATTTTTTTTCGAAAATTGTCAGTCCATATATAATTTTAAACTGGACTAGTTACTAGTCAGTCAAACAGGGTGAGAGTTCTATATTCTAGAGCACTACCTAGTGATACAAACAATCGAAAATATCATTGAGATAAACTCAGGAACGTTATTTATGTATTTTTAGAAATGCCATGAAATATCACTGAGCTTTTACTTTAGCTATCACATTATTTTTGGATTGGCACCAGCAGATATTAAATAACATGTTTCGTATATCTGGGCCAATTTATATAAAAATATTTTTTTCGGTCAATTCTATCAGTGGACTTTCTGTGAATCATAAGGAAAGTAGATAAGTAGTAATCAAATATAATATTTAATCAAGCGAAGAAGCAATTTTTTATAACTTTTTTAAAAAAGTGGTTGAATATCGTGAGTGACTCACTGATTTAAGCGCTATTGTGACCATTGGTTCGACCCCAATTCTGGGACGATGAGTATTGAAAGGGAAGTGCGAGCTAAACCGTAGCTGACACAAGTTTAACTTTGGGGAACGACAGTTAGTTAACGAAAATATCCATTACAATCTATTATTTTCAACTATTTTTGAACCCATTCATTTAGAATATATCAAAATCAGATAATATCCACAAGATGCCTTCATCAGATCGCCAGAAATTATTCATTTAAAAAATTTCTAGAAAAGAATTACTCGACCATGAACCAAGAATGAATATAAAAAAAGCAAATCTTCAAATGTAACTCAAACAAGTATATAGAAAGTGAAGAAGCCCGAATTTTCATATGACCAGAAAATAGTGAGGCTTGTCTAAGAGAAGAAGAAATTGAGAACGAAAATAAAACAGAACTGGTTCACTCATAAAACATTCAGGCTACAGAAGTTCTCAATACAACCAATGACGAATAATAATAATAATTCCTACTAGAAACACAAAGAAATTATTGCCAGTTAAATTCGAAGATTTTCTAGTTCAATGAAAAATATTATTATGGCTTTTCTTTATTTTGATTCGTAGTTTTTCATTCATTATTGGTGAGGAGAGAAAACTAAAATATATTATCTGTGCAATTATGTATCTTCCTGAATGAGGTTCGAGTCAATGAATGACAGTTAATAAAATACTCAGTTAGGTCATGAAAAGCTTGATAAGTTAAGTAGGATAAGTTGAACAGCCTACAAAATATTTGTACTATGATTTGATGGATGTAGCCGTTAGGTAGGAAATCATACGAAGAAAAGAGAATTGAAAATTGTCTACGTTTTTATCAGTTTTATTTG